TATATCTCATTTAAAAAAGGGGGCAGACATTTCGTAAAGGATGTGCCCACTGGGCAGACCATCATGAGAAGAGAATTCTTGGCAGAAAGAACAAAATGAGAAAAGGCATGGAAGCCACAAAAAGCAATGCATTCAGGGACCTGGAGGCGGCTCAGAGGCTGGAGTATGGGTTTTACACAGGCGTGGCAAGAACAAACGAGGTAGTGGGGGCAAATGATGAAAGCCCAAGGAGGAGGTCACAGGGTGTCTTCAATGAGAATGAGGTCTCCTTCCAGGAGGATGACATAACTTTTTTGGTTCAAACCATCTCGTCAAACTCAGTATCATCCAAAAACTCCACTCCACTTTGGTAAGCCCAACACTCCTTTTCTCACCATTTATAAAATACATTTTTCTTAAACTTAAAAAAAAATGTTTTTTTATCCTCACCTGAGGATATTTTTCCATTGCTTTTTTAGATAGAGTAGATGAGAGAGAGAGAGAGAGGAAGGGAGGGAGGGAGAGAGAGAGAAAGAGAGAGAGAAACATCAATGTAAGAGAGACACATCAATTGGTTGCCTCCCGCATGACTCCTACCAGGGCCAGGGATCAAACCTGCAACCAAGGTATGTGCCCTTGACTGGGAATCGAACCTGCGGCCCTTTGGTCCATGGGCCGACGCTCTAACCGCTAAGCAAAACTGGCCAGGGTCTTTAAAATTTTTTAAATTGATTTTGAGAGAGCAAGAGAGAAACACTGATTTGTTGTTCCCCTGATTTATGCATTCACTAGTTGCTTTGTGTATGTGCCTTGACCAGAGATCAAACCTGCAACCTTGACACTTCGGGATGATGCTCTAACCAACGGAGCTATCTGGCCAGAGCTTATAAAATACATTTATTTACAGCACCAGTTATTCAAAGTTTTCTCCCCACCGGCATATAAAGTCCTTGAGGGCAGCCGTGTCCAGTCTCGACTACGTGAGCGCAAGTACAGAGCACCCTGTGGAATTGCAAAGTGTCATGAGAATGGCAATTTCCACAAAGGTCTGAGCTTTCTACACTTTACAAACCTTTGTTCATATTGTCACCCTGTTCAGAACGCTCTCCTAATCGCAAGTTTGTTCAAAGCTCACCATCCTTTATGGTCTATTTCAAATGCCACTTCCTTACAAAGGCCCTTCTCATCTCCCCATCTGGATAGAAACTCTCCACTCTTTTAAAGAGGGTGTATTTTGTTCTGATGGTACTGATTCTGGTGCTGAGTTTTCATGCTGCTATACTGCAGTTCTCTGGGCATTCCTCTCATCTCACACACCTCTCGCCCCACTCCTTCTGGAATCGAAGAACCCCGAGAGAAGGCCCATGTCCTTCCCAGCCTTGCAACTCCCAGCTCCGTGCTGGGTGGAGTCTGATTTAAACATTCAACTAGCAACAAAAACGATGGAATCAGAAACAGAAAGAAACATGATAGCAAAACAAAAGTTTAAAAAAATCCTAGAAGAAACGACACAAAACAGGACACAGGCACAAATAAACGAGTGTATGTAGAATCACTCTGTGACCACTTGGCTTGTTTATATCTGGTCATTTTCATCCCATAGATTTCATTTTGCTAAAACTCCAGAAGACTCAAACAAAGACTCATGGCCTCCTCGCCACTTCGTTCCCAAGCCTGTGGTTTTCCTATGATATAAACAAAAGATTCGGGAGGTATGGTCTCTGTTAACACTGGCTGGTGTGGGTCTGGAGGAGAAATGAGTGGTGGGGTATGGGGAAGCTTGAGGGAAATCCACCTAATGAACTGACAGTTCATATAAGCAACACCTGGAGTGTTAAATCCCCCTACAACCATTGTTTTACTAAAAGAAAAAAAAATGTTCTTCCTTTGGTAAATGCAAAAATTCTTTCACCAGCTGCATTCCAACCTACAGTGTGTGGCAGTTCAGGAGCGACGGCAGCTGGAATGGATCATATTCAGGACAGAGTGACCGACCGCTCACTAGCAGCCAGGAGGTGGTCAGGGCCCACAGACTGGGTCTTCAGAGTCATGTTCCTTTGAGAAAAGGGATTTGCCTGCCTCAATCTGTCTGCCCAGAGCCTTCTGCTTGTAAACACTGAGAATACTGGAAATACACATCCCCGTCTGACAGGCAATAGGATTAGCCCTTTGAATAGAAACGTCGTGACATCAGCTCGTCAGGACTCCCCACTTAGCTTCATAAAACCCTGAAGCCTAAGCTTTGATTTTAATCCTATTTTTGTTAAATATTTACAATCTACTACAAAACCCAATTCAGACCAAATGTCTGCTTACAAACCTGGGGACATGGTCACTCCTGACAAGAGGGGGAGGAGCAGCATCTACCGGCACTGGGCTGGTGGTCACTCTCTGTGCGCGACCCTCCCAACTTCGGGACACAAAGACCCCTATTTCACACACAGAGAAGGTGACTTGGGCCCAGAGAGGTGAAGTCATTTGCTCAACACCCCCAAGGAAAAAACGAGAGTTAGGTCTGTCCGACTCCAAAGCCAGTGTTCTTTCCACTGTGGTCTGCCTGCTTCTGGCCAGTATACCCCAAAGAAGTTCTTTCTCCAGAATTTGTAAGAATGTTACAAGAGTCTAAGACTAAAGAGGCATTGGAAAACTGTTTCTGTAAAGGGCCAAATTGTAAATATTTTAGGCTTTGCAGGCCATATGGCCTCAGTTGCAATTACTTAATCCTGCCCTTTAGTCCCAAAGCAGCCACAGATAATATGCAGGGTGGGGCAAAAGTAGGTTTACAGTTGTTCGTATGGAAAATAATACAATAATAAATAATAATACAAGAATAAATTGTATTTCACATACTTACAACTGTAAACCTACTTTTGCCACACCCCGTATAGATAGATGAGTATGACTATGTTCCAATAAAACTTTATTTACACCTTTCAGCTCTCTGAGCAGCACCACAGCGATCGTCAAGGAGAAGCGTCTTACAAAAGGTGGCAAAAAGTTTGCCAAAAAGAAAGTGGTTGATCATTTTCTAAGAAAGATTGGTATGATGAGAAAGTACCAGCTATGTTTAATATATGAAATATTGGGAAAATATTAGTCATGAGAACTCAAGGAACCAAAATCGCATCAACTAGTCTCAAGGGTTGGGTTTTTGAAGTGAATCCAGCTGATCTGCAGAATGATGAACTTGCATTTAGAGAATTTAAGCTAAGCATGTTCAGGACCAAATCTGCCTGACTAATTTCTACGGCATGGATCTTACCATGGAGACAAAATGTGCTCCATGTTCAAAAACTGGCAGACCAGCCCTGGCCAGGTGGCTCAGTTGGCTGGAGCATCATCCTGTACACCAAAAGGCTACAGGTTCAATTCCCCACAGGGCACATACCTCAGTTGCAGGTTCAATCTCAGGGGGTGTATGGGAGACAACTGGTTGATCAACGTTTCTCTCTCATATGAATGTTTCTCTCTTCTCTCTCTCTCTCTCCCTTCCTCTCTCTCTAAAACCAATAAAAGCTACCCTCGGGTGAAGATTAAAAAATAAAAAGGCAGACCATGACTGAAACTCATGTTGATGTCAAGACTACTGATGGTTACTTGTTTCGTCTATCCTGTGTTGGTTTTACTATAAACCACAACAATTAGATTCGGAAGGCCTCTTATGCTCAGCATGAACAGGTCCACCAAATATGGAATAAGATGATGGAAATCATGGCCAGAAAAGGGCAGACAAATGACTTGAAAGGCGTGGTCAATAAGCTGATTCCAGGTAGCACTGGAAAAGACACAGACAAAGCTTGCCAATGTATTTATCTGCTCCATGATGTCTTTGTTAGGAAAGTCAAAATATGGAAGAAGCCCAGGTTTGAATTGGGACAACTCATGGAGCTTCATGGTGAAGGCTGCAGTTCTGGAGAACCTGCTGGGGATGAGGCAGGTACTGAGGTTGAACAATCTGATGGATATAAGCCCCAGTCCAAGAATTTAAAAATCAGACTTAATGGTGACAAACAAATAATCCTAGTTGAGATTAAAAAACAACAAACTTTATTTACAAAAACAGGCAGTGGTCCTAATTTGGCCCACAGGCTATAGTTTGCGACCCCTGCTCTAGAAGGTTCTAGAGTGGGTAGCTTCATGTTATTTGGCTTAGAAATCAAGGAAGAATTGCCTGTTTCCAACTCAATTAATCAACAAACACTAAAGTCTTCTATGTTCTATACAGCCTATGCATTTAAGGAATTTACATGATCTTTTAGGAAGAAAAGACAGAAGTGAACAAAAGCCAAACAGCAACACAAAGCAGTATGTGGTATGTGCCAAAGGAGGGAATGTGAGGGCTGCGGGCTGACTGATGGGCCTTCATGATGACAGAACACCAGGGTCCACAGCCTGACCCAATAATCCTGCATTGGCACCACAGCTCAGAAAGAACTGGAAAACCCTCTCAGAAAGAATGGGCTCAACAACAAAGATGAACAGATGTTACTAACAGAAACACCCAGTCTGGTGAGACCATGAAAACTCTCATCAGCAGGGATCAGGTGCTAACCGAAGCTCACATTTTTTTTTTTTATCCTCACCCGAGGACATTTTTGCATTTATCTTCAGATAGAGCGGCAGGGAGAGAGGGGGGAAGAGAGAGAGAAACATGGATGTGAGAGAGACACATAGACTGGCTGCCACCCACACGACCCACCGGGGACAAACTGCAACCGAGGTATATGCCCTTAGCTGAAACCAAACCCGGGTCTCTCTAGTCCACGGGGCCGATGCTCCAACCGCTGAGCCAAACTGGCCAGGGCTGAAGTTCACATCTTTAAGCCTAAAGATCATCTGCTTCCTGTCTTATTCTCAAAGGACAGGTGATGGCCCTAAGGTATAAGACAAGCTGAGCGCTTCCCTTCTCCTCCCGGCTGACACTACGCTCTGAGGAGCCTGAAGAAGCCCCAGGCAAGGGCTGCAGAGGCCATCTGGGGGCACTCCTGGACGTGTGGGCAGCCACACTGCCTAACCCTTACCTTGCTCATGGCAGTCAGGGCAGGGTCACAGGCAGCATCCAGGTCTTGAACCAACAACTGAATGCTGTTAGAGATAACACTGTGAATAAAACATATCAGTAGGTCAGAACTTTCCAGAAAAGGACGTTTTAAATGACAATAGCCCCTTCCAAATGTTTTAGGCACCTGTGTACAATTCGATTCATCATTTCATCAGGAACTCAGAAAACTCGAGTTTCATTTCAAAAGGGAACTAGTGACAATGAGGAGCATTTGCCCCTTTATTCTTGCTGCATGTCCTGGTCTGGTGCAGGTCTGTCTCCACTCAGGACACAAAATCCCACAGCTCGCCTCCCTATTTGTCACACCCAAAATCCCTCTTTATGTTCACCCCCAAATGTACCTGTTGCCAAAATGTTTAAATGAGAACTTAGAAAAAAAAAAAAAGTTGAGAAAAGGAGAAGAAATGACTTAAGAAGAGAACATTAATTTTTTCCTCAAAAAGTGGTGGATGAGAAAGTTCAGCCTATCCTAATCTCATTTAATGACAACAACAAAAATACTGCTGAAAAACACCGGAGAAAGGGCAACTTCAAGAAGGCTTTTCAGTTTGAACTTCTTGGACAGACACCTTCCCAACCCAAACACACACACACACACACACACACACACGACTAAAAATTGGCTGCTGACAGTTTTTTGTGTTTTGTTTTTCTTTGTCGATTTGAGAGAGAGGAAGGGAGAGGGGGAGAGAGATAGAAACATCAATGAGAGAGAACATCGACTGGCCGCCTCCTGCATGCCCCACACTGGGGATCAGGCCCACAACCTGGGCATGTACCCTGACCAGGAATTGAACCAGCGACATCTTGGTGCAGGGGTCGACACTCAACCACTGAACCACACCAACTGGACTGCTGACAGTTTATAGCAGATATTTTTGATGTGTGTACCTCAAGAATTTTTAAAACATGCAATATCTGATTAGCAAGAAGCAATGATCTCTTTTCCCTTAGAATGGCAAATAAAAAAACAACAGCCAACACAACAGTAGCCTTCCAGTATGAATGAATCAAAATTATACCTATTTTTTTCTTTTGCCAGATTGGCAAAGATTTTAACATATTTTTTGGTGTGCTGCAGAATTTTAGTAATTGGTTTATGTGTGCCACCAGATGAAAAAGGTTGAAAATCACTGCTTTATGTTCTAAAACACTGGAGGTAGAGCTGGCCCTCTGGGGATTTATAGGGACAGATAGGAGACCTTGGATCTGACCTTCCTTCACGGAAGGCCAAGGGAGGCTTTCTTCTCTTTTGTTATTCTAGGAGTGAAAAAATAACATAAAAACCCAGAAGCTGAAAATGATTGTATCTGAGGAGGCAGAATGGGTTGCAGCTGCACCAGCTTCTAATGCTGCTCCTTAGTGGAGAACAATCTTGATGCAACAGAAAGCCCTGGAAACCTCTTCGGTGCTGTAGGGACCTAAAGCCCACACCTGGGACACGCTGCTTCGTGAAGGGCAGGCAGTCTGTGAGCAAATGTGTGCGCGGTACATACGTGCTGAACGTGTCCATTTCTCCAGTCAGATTGATTCGCTCAGTCAGACTGACATCAACTTTTTCTTTGAGTTTTTCTTCTAACTATTAGAAAATGAGAGAGAAAAACATGCTTAATGATTAGCCAAATGAGTACCATAGTAAGAATACTTAACATCAACTGGGTTTGAAGATTCAGGCACAATTCCAGGCACTCTCCATGTATTGACTCATGGCATTCTCATAACCCTACAAGGAAGATTCCATTACTACCCCAGTTTTACAGAAGAGGAAATGAAGGCGCGACCTACCCAAGACAGTAAATGGAAGGGCCGGGGATCAAACTTCCTCCAGAACCTGTGCCTTTGAGCGCTGGGCTGTGAAGGTTTCTTATGACACTCTGACAACTCCTTTCATTCGTTTTTAAAAAGACCTTGATTTTTAGGATACTCCCTGCCCCATCAACTGCAGGCTCACTCCCCAACACTGGAAGCCTCTGGTGATGGGCGGCAACAAAATCAGTCTTCAAGCATTCACGGAGTGCTCCTACACACCACCCACTGTGTTGAGGGATACCGAGGCAAAGAAAAGAAGCAGAGTCTCTGCCTTCCGCAGTTGACGGCCCCTAGGAGAAAATCACTGGCCACGCTCCCAGCCGTCTCGAAGAATATAACCAACCAGGAATTGTAAATATCTCCAAACATCCCGGGAATTGATTCATTGAGCACTCCCAGACCTACTTATTACACAAACTCTAAGAATAATGAATGTTTTGTCTTGCATTTAAAAATGCTCTTAGGGGTGCGTAAATTAGTGTAATCTTTTTGGAAGGCAATTTATTTAAAAAGCAACAAATTAAATACACACATGCTTTAAGCCAGCAATTTCACATCTAGAAAAGTATTTCAATGAAACAATGACAACAATGTACAAAGATATTCAAGTATTCTTTGCAGCATTCATTAATCCAATCAGTATTTACTAAAAGCCCATTTTGTACCAGGCTCTGTAAGAGCGTAATGGAGTTATTTAATGAACAAAACGATAAGATTCCGTTCTCAAAAGCTCACGTTCTAGTGCTGTTTGTTATTGAAAAACTGGGAACAACCTACGCGTATATTTACAAGGAACTGATAAAACAAGGTATGGTGCCAGATTACAATGCTTAAACCCTTCCTCAGCCTCTTTCTATCACACTGAAAATAAAAGCTAAACTTCTAACCATGATTTGGGCCCTGTCTCTCTCTTCTGTCCACATCCAGCTTTCCCCCTTGCTGGCTTGGCTTCAGTTACATTGACCATCCAAAGTTTTGAAAATAATAAGTCTGTTCCCCTTCAGGGCCCTCATACTTCCTACTTCCTCTCCCTGAAACACTCCCTAGCACCCTCCTGCTCCCACCCCTTCCAAGTCCCTCACGCGACAGTCTCTTTCCCAACTGTCAGGTTTCTGCTTCAATGTCACCTCTTCAGGGAGACTTTTTTTTTGGTACATGGCCCTAGTGGGAACTGAACCCAGGACTCTCTGGTCCGCAGGCCAATGCTCCAACTGCTGAGCCCTTCTTTCTTTCTTTATTTATTTTGATTTTTATTGTTTTATCCTCACCCGAGGACATTTTTTGTTCAGATAGAGAGATAGAAAGAGAGAGAGAGAGAGAGAGAGAGAGAGAGAGAAACATCGATGTGAAAGGAACACATCGAGTGGTTGCCACCTGCACGACCAACCAGGGCCGGGAACAAACTGCAACCGAGGTACATGCCCTTAGCGGGAACCGAACCCGGGTCTCTCCAGACCGCAGGCCGATGCTCTAACCGTTGAACCAAACCAGCCAGGGTGCCCTTCTTTTTTAAAATAAATATTATTATTGATTTTTAGAGAAAGAGGAAAGGAGGAGAGAGACAGAGAAACATTGATTTGAAAGTGGAACACCCACATGACCCACATCACTGATCAGAGCTGCCTCCTGCAACTCATGTGCCCTGATCAGGAATCGAAGCAGCAACCTTTGGTGCATGATTGATGCCCAAGCAGCTGAGCCAAACTGGCCAGGGCTGGCCCTTCTTAACCACTCTGCTTCTACAGGCAACTCCCTGACTAGCACTCAGCATTTATTTCCTTCTTATCACTTACCACAAATGGAAGTCACACCTTTATCATCTGGCTCTCTCATCAGTTCTAAGTTCCATGACAGGAAGAAACTTGGCTACTCTGGTGTTCATCACTGTTAATTAACATCAACCACAGCACCTGTTACATATAAGTGCTTCATAAAGATCTCTTGAATGCATGAATGAATGAATGAATGAAATACCCCATACAAATGTTGTGTAAAAGTGTTACAATTAGTGAATCAACATTGATATATTATTGGCATTGTTTTTTTTTAATTTAATTTTTCCAGTTCTTCATTGCTCGGATTCTTAAGTCTTCTGGTTTCTCCCTCTATTTTTTTCTACCTCCCTGCCCCCAACCCCTGCAATTTTTTAAAGGAATCTGGGTTGTCTGCCCTGTGGATTCTCCCATAGTTTGGATTTTGTTGATTGCATCCACAAGGTATTAATTAAGACGTTCTTTGTCCCTTGTATTTCTTATAAATTGTAGTTTGATGTACTGTTGACCTTGAGCAACATGGGTTTGAACTGTCCACTTATATGTAGACATTTTTTAATAAATATAGTAAAGATGTTCTCTTCCTTATCATAATCTTAATAACCTTTTCTCTAGCTTACTTTTTTGGGGGAGTCAGAAATTACACGTGAAATTTTGACTGTGGGTGTCAGTGCCCGTAACCCCTTATTGTTCAGTGGTTAACTGCAGAAGCTTGAGCAGGTTCTGTTTTTCTTCTTAGACAACTACGTCACGAGGTGTTGTGTACTCCTATCAGTAATACATGATGTTTGCCTGTCTCTCTCTTTAAAAAAATTTTTTTTTCTTTACTGGTTTGAGAGAGAGAGGAAAGGAGAGGTAGCGCGAGAGAGAAACATCAATGAGAAAGAATATCGATTGGCCGCCTCCTGCATGCCCCCCAAAACCTGGGTATGTGCCCTGACCAGGAATTGAACCAGTGACCTCTTGGTGCATGGGTCGACGCTCAACCACTGAGCCACACCAGCTGGGCACCTGTCTCTCTTTCTGTAATATCAGCACCCACTGACTGTTAATGCCCAGATCCGTCATTGCAATAGGAAGTATAAAAGAATGATATTCTAGGAGGCGGGAGCGGGGAGAAGAGTGTCAATGAGGGAACAAGGAGGGACATCTATAATATTTTCAACAATAAAGAAAAAAATGTTTTTTAAAAAGAGAATGATTCTCTAATTCTATCTTTTCTTCTACGTTGATTAGCTAAAATTCTGCTATAAGAGATACTTCCCATTGTCAATCATTTGGTTATCCTAAGGTACAAGTCAGAGAGGAAAGGCAGGATAAGAAATCCCCCTTTATTTACCAGTACTTAATTCATACCCATGGTTCCTTAGTATCTTCAAATATAATAAATGAATTAAAAAAGCATTATAATCACACAGACTGAATCATATTTGACCCTTCAGTCCGCTGTGGTTCATCTTCTCACTGGTGTTTATAGGTCCCATCTTTGACCAGCAGGGCTTATTCAGGTTGGCTCCCTTTTCAGTTCCCTAGGGCTGCATAACACATTTCTACAGACTTCGTGCCTTAAAACAGAAATGTATTCTTTCACAGTTCTGGAGGCCAGGAGTCCAAAATCAAGGTATTTGCCGGGTTGGTTCTTTCTGGAGGTTCTAAGGAAGAAACTGTTCCACGCCCCTCTTCTATCTACTGGTAGCTGCTGGCAATCCCTGGTCTTAGCTTGTAGACACATCACTCCATCTGTCTCTTTTCACATGTCCTTCTTCCCTGTGCCTTTGAGTGTTACTCCCCCTCTCCTTTCTAATGATACCAGGCACTGAATTTAGGACCCCTAAATGCAAGATGATCTCATCTTGAGATCCTTCCTTCAAGTACATCTTTAAAAAATCCTATTTCCAAATAAGGTCACATTTATAGGTATTGGGGGTAAGGACCTGGATGAACATGTCTTTTTGTATATTAAACATACCAGAGCTCCTGAGTGAGTCCTTTTGAAATGACTCTCACAGTCTTTCATATTTTTCTTTCATATTTTTCTTGCTTTTTGTATGACATGGTGTTCTAGGCTCATCTTAAACATTTTCTGCCCAAACTTGGAATTAGTAATTTCTCCAAGAATCTCTGGTTCCTTTTAGTGGAAAATTATATTTAGAGATCAAAATATAAGGGCTAAGAATGTATTTACTTTTATAACCAGTAAAAATAATTTTCATTAAATAACAAAAAAATGGCTATATCTATCATGAATCATCAAAATGGTCTCTGATCTACTAATACTTCTAGAACTTCTAAGAATCTGTTCTAGAAACAGACTCATAGATACCGAGAACTTTTTGTTTGTTGCTAGATGGGAGGGGGGCTGGGGGGATGGGTGAAAAAGATGAAGGGATTAAGAAGTACAAATTGGTTATTAGACTGATGAACCTCTTATAGCGGGAAGAGAGAAACCAAAGAATTTATATGCATATATGAATATACAACAGACACAGACAATAGTGTGGGGAAGGCAGGAGGGGGGTGGGGGAGTAGAGGAGGTCGGGGAGGAAAAAGGAGGGGCATCTGTAATACATTTAACAATAAAGATAAAAGTTTGAAAAGGAAAAATAAGAAGAATCTGTTCTGGAAAAAAAACAAAAACGGAAACATTAGAGGTTCTTTGTAGGATTACTGATAAAAGCAAAAACTTGAGGTGACATAAACAGTTATCAGGGATACAATTAAATAATTTATGGTATATCCCATAATGGAATATTATGTAGCCATAACAAAGATCAAAATATTATAGCAACATACTAATGCCACGATGTTAACAACAACAACAAAAGGATATGAAAATGAAGCCAAGATCACAGAGCCCTGGCAGGGTAGCTCAGCTGGTTACAGCATTGTCTCAATACATCAAGGTTTTGGGTTCAATCCCCAATCAGGGCACATACAAGAAACAATCAATAAATGCATAAATAAGTGGAAAAACAAATTGATGTTTATCTCTCTCTCATCAATCAAAAAAAAAAAAAAAAAGGTCATAGCACACCAAACTATGTTGATGAAAAACAATTGAAAAGAAAAAAAACACCCCACTCTCGCCAGGTAGCTCAGTTGATTAGACTGTCATCTTGATACTCCAAGGTTGTGGGTTTGATTTCAGGTCAGGGCACATACAAGAAGCAACCAATGAATGCATAAATAAATGGAAGAATAAACTGATGTCTCTCTCTCTTTCTCCCTCCCTTCCTCTCTGTCTCTAAAATCAAGGTTTTGGGTTCAATCCTCAGTCAGGGCACATACAAGAAACAACCAATAAATGCATAAATAAGTGGAACAACACTTATTTATGCATTTATTGCATAAATATTTTTTTAAAAATTAAAAAAAAAAACTCTCCAAATTGCTAATATAATTATTTGAGGAGTAATATAATTCCTCAAGATAAAGTTAAGAGTTATTATTTTATTATTATTTATCCTCACCCGAAGACATTTTTGCATTTATCTTCAGATAGAGCAGGAGGGAAAGAGGGAAGAAGAGAAAGAGAGAGAAACATCGATGTGAGAGAGACACATCGAGTGGTTGCCACCCACATGACCCCAACCGGGGCGGGGACAAACTGCAACCGAGGTATGTGCCCTTAGTGGGAACTGAACCCGGGTCTCTCTGGTCCGCAGGCCGATGTTCTAACCACTGAGCAAAACCAACCAGGGCAAGAGTTATTATTTTTATAGCTTTTAGGTTTTTTGGTACCATGATTATTGTACTTTTTAAATACTATTATATCTATGTGTATTCTTTCTCATTCTGCATTCACACAGAAGTTAGTGTTTCTTCATCAAAAAACTCTGGGACCCCTGCTTTGGAGGTCCTCACAGATAATGCCATCCTGCCCTGGGAGTTCTTGGGGCTAAATGGATTGTTGTCTCTGGCTCGGCTCCAAAGCCAAACCTTTATGGATCATTCCCTGTGTGACTCAATATAACCATGTCCCCAAGCAGAGCATACTATTGCCTCTGCCTCTGGCTGGCTTAACCCCAACTGTAAAGTTTTGGGGGGAACACTTCTTATTTGGCCTATTCTGTATTCTAGCTCACAGGTGCTCCAAGCTGTCCTGTCTGAACCATAATTTATGACTGTTCCTATGATCTAGACATGTATAAATTATAAATCCAAAAAAGGAGGACAGAGCAGCACCTTCCCCAATTACTTTTTCTCTTGGCCTTAGGTGAATTCCAGATCAAGTGTGAAAAGAAACTTCTAATCCCAGTCTCAGGCTGAATGGCAAATTATTCTGGGTCTTCCTTCTTTTAATGAGGAACTCCAGGAGAGGCATCACCCTTTCCTGCTTCACAGTTCCTGAACGTCAACATCCAAACAATGGTTGTCTGTTTAGGGCCTAAACTTTAGGCAGACTGAGACTGCTATGTAAATTCCAGGAGACACATAAAAGCCCAAAGCATTCTGCTGAGCCTAGTAACACTTCTGAGAATGGAATAACTGGCTGTGATTCATCACCACCAAAGGCTAGGTCCTAGCACCCTTAAGTTTGTTCCTTCTTGTCTCATACAGGAGATGGGGCTACTGACCTACTTTGCAGAGGACATGCCCTTTATGTAGCTTACATAACTCTGGGGAAGAGATCAGTCACACTTTCTTGCCCAGGATCCTTTAACAAGGCCCTTCTGTAAAATGGTCATCTTCTGGCTGGACAGCCAGTTTTCCTCTGTGGGAGGCCAGCTGGTCTGCCTAAGGTGTAGGTGGCCTTGTTAGGGCCCATACTCTTACCAGCTGAGCTAAGTGGCCCAGCTAGTTCAGGACAAGGAGGTGAAGAGTGGGCAGCCAGGGTGGCTCACCTGCTGGGTGGTGGCCAGACAGTACTCTGCTGTGCTTAGGATGCTGCAGATGAGGCAGAGCTCCTCCAGAGTGAACTTGGCTACTTCTGAGCCCTCCTTTTCCTTGAGGAGGCTGCTGATGGTCAGCCCTCCACTGCTACTTGTGGTTCTGAGGAAAAGGAACAGGAAGTAGTCAGGCTGGGACTTCTCATTTGCTTCCAGAATTGGAAAGGGCACATCTTAAGAAAAGAAAAGGGGGAAGGAAAGTCTGGACACGGCCCAAATAAATCCACATACAATGAGTCCTTTCCTCTTGACCTCACCTTGACTGTCATCTGTTTAAATTCTCTGACCATCAGAAATAGGAAGAGATGATTGCAACGGTGAGTCAATAATCAGTCGTATTTACCGTGATGACTCACACTCACAGAGAAGGCTGCTGAACCGACTCTGCTCAGCTTGGAATTTCCTGATCTGTAGAGCTCATTCAGGATAATCTGTAGCACTGGTTCCCCAACGGTTTCTCTCAGTTAAAGCACATTCTGCCCAGGAATTTGTATGTTGTGCTTGTGGAGGGGTACAAAAGTGCATGCTAAGCCATGGTTCCTGCCCAAACCCCTGACTGCCTCAAGAAACCAAAAGGCATCTCATCCCTTCCTACTGGGGTCTAATCACATGCTCACAAAATGTTAAAATGCAGTTATAAAACTTCCTGCTATTTCAGGAAGAATTAGACTGTGAGAGTCATATGTATTTTTATCCTCACCCGAGGACACTTTTGCATTTATCTTCAGATAGAGCGGGAGGGAGAAAGGGAGGTAGAGAGAGAAAGAAACATCGATGTGAGAGAGACACATGGAGTGGTTGCCACCCACATGACCCCAACCAGGTCGGGCACAAACTGCAACTGAGGTACATGCCCTTAGCAGGAACCGAACCTAGGACTCTCTGGTCTGTGGACCAGCGCTCTAACTGCTGAGCAAAACCGGCCAGGACTTATATTTGGTAAAGAAGAAAGAATTCAATGACATATATCTTAAAAATAAAAGAGAAATTTCTCCTTTAAAAACCTGCCCAGTCTTACTGATACTCAAAGATTTGTGAACGTTTTACTTCCCAGCACTTATAAGAATGTGAGGGCACTGGCGCTCTTGTCCACCATGGGTTAGGAGATTGCACTGTACAATCTTTCTGGAAGTCTATTTCAGGAGCTTTAAAAAATATCCAGATGATTCGACGCAGTAGTTCCACTTCTGTTCAAGGATGATTTTCAGAGTGTTATTTAAAATACCGAAATGCCCTGGCCGGTTTGGCTCAGTGGTTAGAGTGTCGGCCCGCAGACCAAAGAGTCGCAGGTTCCATTCTGGTCGAGGGCATGTACCTCAGTTGTGGTTCATCTCCGGCACCCCCTGGTTGGGGTCACGTGGGAGGCAACCAATCGATGTGTCTCTCTCATATTGATGTTTCTCTCTCTCCCCCATCCACCCCTGCCCTCTCCCCTTCCCACTCTATCTGAAGATAAATGGAAAAATGTCTTCGGTTGAGGATTAAAAAACAAACAAAAAAAACCGAAATAGTGAACCCAACCTAAATGACCAATTAAAAGAATGATCAATAAGAATCTCAGAAGTTGGCCCTGGCCCGGTTGCTGAGAGGTTAGAGCATCATCCCATATACCAAGGTTGTGGGTTTGATCCCCGGTCAGGGCACATACAAGAATCAGCCAATGAATCATCAATACAGGAACAACAAATCCATGTTTCTCTCTCTCTCCCTCCCTTCCTTCCTCCCTCTCTCTCAAATCAATACATTAAAAACCATTAAAAAAAAGAATCTCAGAAGTTAATTGAGGTTCTTCAATATGTTTGATTGCCATGGCATCATTAAACATGTGTTAATATTTACTGTCATGAGTGCCCACAATTCTCTGTTGGCTTCCCAAATCCATTCTCTGCTCCTCTCTTCCCTTCTCTATAGCTCGGGAGACGGACTTCCACAGACTTATCACCCAGGCTTCTTGGCTCTCAGGCCTTCTGTTGGGTTCGGCCAACGGGAGATGCAGCAGGAAGTCAGACAGGTAGAGGAGAGAGAAGTCTGAGCAATAACTAGTCCTCCAGCTCCCTCTGCTTCAGTGCTGGCAGCGACTGGCCCTCTATGACTAGTTTCTGTGGGGCAGACCTTTGCTGCCCTAGCTCTCAAGTAATTTCAAAATAGTAGCAACTCCCCACTAGAACTTGGATGCTTCAGAGTCCTCTGCTGGTTCTTTATACCTTGCCCCCATTCTGTGACTGCACAGCGGCTTTACTTCTAACAACACCCCAGCTGAGTGCACTGTTTCCTGCTGTGACCCTGGCTAACACGCGCAGGGAAAAGCTCCCAGGGCGCTGTTAAGTGAAAGCAGCAGGGTATAAAACTATGAGCAGTATAGTCCCAATTCTGTTAAACAAACAGAGACACAATCACACATGTTATATAAATAAATAAAAAATGGAAAAATATATACCAAAAAGCTAAACTTGTCTTCTCTGGGTGGTGAGATTAAAGGTGATTTTTATTTCCAATCTTTGTGGTTTTCTGTGTTATTTTGATAATTGGGACAAAAGTTACTAAAATTTTTAAAACAATCTTTATCATAGTCAAAGAAATTCTCATTGATAAAATATATCTGCTACTTCAAATCTCTTGTAGAGCACAGAGATTTTATTTTCTTTGCTTCAAATAATGTAAAACTCCCATATAGGACACATTTTAGTGATAATGACAGAAACTAACTCCATAAATGTTGACTACAGCCATGGGGATGATTTTTAATTGCTAAATTTTGAAGCCTTACCTTATATCATATTCTATTACAATAGAAATTGCTACAATATAACCAAAACATCTAAAACTGGTTGAATGATTCATTTATTTCAAGTTGTAACAATGTAACAACATTCTAATGCTCCAGTGAGTAGGTGTAATTAGGAGCTGTGCTCTGTAACCTCCCACCCCTAAATCTCACTACATCTTTAAACATTAGACCCTATCCAGCAGAGCAAGATAAACATACCATAGGAGAGACTTTGGAACGTACTCAGACCGAGGGAAAGCAGACTCATACCTCTCGTCTACTTATCATCCCAGGACATGAGCTCATTAAATGGGGCGCAAGTGAAATTGCCCATGCTGTTTAAAAGTTATTTCCACCACTACCCTATTTTTTAAAAAATCCTCACCAGAGGATATTTTTCCATTCATCTTCAGATAGAGTGGGAGGGAGAGAGGGGGAAAGAGAAGAGAGAGAAACATGGATGTGAGACACATTAATTGGTTGCCTCCCGCACGACCCCAACCAGGGCTGGGAACCAAACTACAACTAAGGTACATTCCCTTGGCCGGAAACGAACCCGTGACTCTCTGGTCTGTGGGCCGATGCTCTAACCGCTGAGCCAAACCGGCCAGGGCCACTACCCCACTTTGAAAGCTGTATCCATCGTTGAATCCATTTAAATTAAATATGGATATAATGGACTGACTCCCTTGAGTTCAACATGGTAGTGTGACCTACACTGGCAGCCAGTGTGGGCATTTCCTCTAATGGTCTTTTTTTGTTACTCCTCACCTGAAGATATTTTTCCATTAATTTTTTAGATAGAGTGGAAGGGAGGAAGGAGGAGAACAAGCAAAACATTGATGTGAGAGCGAAACATCTATTGGTTGCCTCCTATACTACCCAATCGGGCCAGGGATCGACCCTACAACCCAAATATGTGCCCTTGACCTGGGATCAAACCCAAGATCCTTCAGTCTGTGAGCCAATGCTCTCTCTAACTGCTGAGCCAAACCGGCCAGGGCTCCTCTAACGGTTCTGATCAGCTGTGGAACCACATTTAGAGAGGAAATAGTCTCAGGCCCTTGGGAACTCAGTTAGGGTGTTTTTTCCCTTGATCTTAGTAGCTCAGTAAACAATTTCAGAGTGGACTTCCTTAAAGATTCCCATATTTAGGCATGTTTAGAACTGTCCTTCAGCACTTGGACCAGGAAGAACAGGACTCACTTGGGCAGGTTGCCAGAGAGGATTTTCCAGGCGTATTCTCGGAGGTACTTCTGAAAAATGGTAGACAGAGCAATCATTGGCTCCCCAGTACTGAGCTGAGAGCACTGCACCATGCACTTCTTGTAGTAGACAAAGAGGTCAGCACAGCTGGGGAGCACGGCACCCCCTTCATCCGTGTTGGGCTTAGGTGGCCCCTGGGCTTTGAAATCAGCCACAAACCGATCTATCAGCTCTCCAAGGTTTCTAGGAAGAAGAAAACCTGAAATGTTATTCTAGTTCAAGAAAGAGAAAGCAAATAAATGTGCCTGACTGACATGAGTAAATTATTCCTAATATCTTTTTATTTTAAAAAAATTATCTTTATTGTTGAAAGTACTACAGATACCCCTCATTTTCCCCAAATTGACAGCCTCCTCCCAGCTTCCACCCCTCCCCACTGTACTGTGGTCTGTGTCCACTGGTTACGCATATAAGTTCTTTGGTTTATCTCTTCCTACTCCCCACAACTCCTTCCCTCTGAGAATAGACTAGTTTCCACCATTATCATCATTAACCACCCTCACTGCTCCTACAATAACAGCAGCAATAACATGTGGCATTTACATGATGCTTTATACTTTTCAAGGCATTTCATGATCTCATATGACCCCACGCCCCTGAGAGGAAGATAAAGGTATTACCGAGTCCTCTAACAGCAGTTCTTAACCTGTGGGTCTCGACCCCTTTGGGGGTAGAACAACCCTTTTACACGGGTCTCCTAAAACATAACAGTAGCAAAATTACAGTTTTTATGAAGTAGCAATGAAAATAATTTTATGGTTGGGGGTCACCACAACATGAGGAACTGTATGAAAGGGTCGCGACATTAGGAAGGTTGAGAACCACTGCCTAAGAGATAAAAAAAATTAAGGCTAGAAAGTTTGTCACACAATTTAGTGGCAGAGCTGAGCCCAGAATTAACCACTTAAATGCGTGCACTGGTCCCACCACCATAATTGGACCATCTCCCCTTTCCACAACAAAAACCCTTAATAATGACAGTAATCATTTCCTGAACACTTACAATATACCAGGCACTATGTCAGTATTTGATAAGTGTCATTTCAACAAACTTCATTTAATCTTCAAAATAACCTTATGAAGTAGGTAACTATTACTATCCTCATTTTCAAAATGCAAAATGCAGAAAAGTTAAGGACCTTGTCCAAGGTCATATAGCAAGAGAGTGGGGGAGCCAGGATTCAAAACCAAGCAGCCTGGCTCCAAACCTCATGCTTTAAAAAAAAGTTTTTATAGATTTCTAAAGAGAGAGGAAGGGAGAGGGAGAGAGAAACACCCACGTGAGAGAACCCCAAATGGGGATTGAACCCACAACCCAGGCATGTGCCCTGACTGGGAATCGAACCAGCGACCTCTCAGTGCATGGGCCGATGCTCAACCAGCTGAGCCACACTGGCTGTGGCCAAATCTCATGCTTTTAACCACTCTACCAAACTACCTCCTAAAAAACAAAAAGGTTATGATGTCAGCAAACATTTAGGTATCATTAACCTAAATGTGCCCAAAAGATAGATGCCTAAACAAAGAGAAACTATAGCCCTGGCTGGTTTGGCTCAGCGGTTAGAGCGTCAGCCTGCGGTCCAGAGAGACCCGGGTTCGGTTCCCGCTAAGGGCACGTACCTCGGTTGCAGGTTGTCCCCGGCCCTGGTTGGTCGTGCGGGCGGCAGCCACTCGATGTGTCTCTTTCACGTCGATGTTTCTCTCTCCTCCTCTCTCTCCCTCCCACTCTATCTGAGCAAAAAATGAAAAAGTGTCCTCGGGTGAGGATAAACATAAATAAATAAAATAAACAAAGAGAAACTATAAAGATTCTAATGTTTTCTTTTTCCTTTAATGCCGCTGTTTCTTAGCACTTCCAGACTTAAAGGTATAAAACATTCTGGGAGAAGAGCGGGTCTGAGCAGCTCCAGCTTGCCCAGGTCACGGTGGTGTTGACGGCTGCAATTTTTCTCCCATTTCCCATTCCAACATCACTGACTCTGCTTCAGCTGTAATGAGTCACCACTCGTTAGAACCCAGCAGGGCTGTACTGCTGGTTCCCTGCACAGTTGTGCGGTATGAAAAATGGGAGGAGAGGTTCCCACCCCTCTTGACATTTTGCATCTTTGTAGGTGGCTGTCTAAGGCTACAGGAATCCAGCTGTGCATTAAAAATGTATTTATATAACAGCCAGAAAGAAAAAAAACAAGAACCACATGCAGCATCAATTAGCAGGAACAGGAGAAAACTGACGTTCTGCTAAAGAGCTTTTGTTATTGAAAGTTTAGTATATCCAGATGCAGCCATTCTGCCCTCGAAGAGCTTCATGCTTTGGCTAGGACTTTGTGGTGATGGTCAGTAGCAAGGAACACTCGAGCTCTCCACCCCCATTCCTCACAACCTTTTCTTGCCTCCCCTTTGCATTGGATCTCCCACCTCTTCTCCACAGTGACCCTCCAATCCAGTCGGACCCTCATCAACCACCCGCTGCTCCCTCTATCCCTGACTCTGAGCCTTTGCCTGGATGCCTCCCTCCACCGAAATGTTCTCCTGTCACTTCTCTATTCAGCTCAGGGTCTGCCCACAACTCCTCCTCGCAACAATCCTGTCTCCATTTCCACTCTGCCATGTCACACACTGACACTTTATTTTGTTACATTTAAATATACACTGTAGCCCTGGCCAGTGTGGTTCAGTGGTTAGAGCGTCGGTCCGAGCAACAGAGTGTTGGGTTTGATTCCCGGTCAAAGGCACATGCCTGGGTTGAAGGTTCGATCCCTGGCCCATCAGGGCATGTACAGGAGGCAACCAATCAATGTGTCTCTCTCACATCAATGTTTCTCTCTCTCTCTCTCTCCCCCCAATCCTCCCTCCCTTCCACTCTCTAAAAACCAATGGAAAAAATATCCTTGGGTGAGGATAAACAACAACAATATACCCAAACACACACAGTAAGGCTGTCAGATATTCAAGAAATGTGTTGATTGTCTCCCATCCTGGGTCCATGGTGGCAATGCTAATCAATAATGGCAATCTTTTCCACTGATTTTTTTATTTTATATATATATATATTTATTTATTTTTATATCCTCACCTGAAGATATAAAATGCATTTTTGCATTTATCCTCAGATAGAGCGGGAGGGAGAGAGGGAGAAAGAGAAAGAGAGAAACATTGACGTGAGAGAGGCACATCGACTGGTTGCCACCCACACAACCCCAACCAGGGCCGGGGATAAACTGCAACCGAGGTGCATGCCCTTAGCGGGAACCAAACCCAGGACTTTCTGGTCTGCGGGCCAATGCTCTAACTGCTGAGCCAAACCGGCCAGAGCTGATTTTTTTTTTTAATCCTCATCTGAGGACACTTTTCTATTCATCTTCAAATAGAGTGGGAGGGAGGGAGAGAGAAGGAGAGAGAAGGAGAGAGAGGGAGAGAAAGACAAACATCGACGAGAGGGACACATCGACGAGAGGGACACATCGACTGTTTGCCTCCCGCACGACCCGGACCAGGGCCAGTGATAAACCACAACCAAGTTCCAGAATTGAACCCGCGACTCACTGGTCCATGGGCTGATGCTATACCACTGAGCCAAACCGGCCAGGACTCTTTTTTCTTTTTCAAAATATATTTTTACTGATTTTTTAGATAAAGAGGGAAAGGGGGAGAGAGACAGAAACATTGATCAGAGAGAAACATTGATTGGCTGCCTCTTGCATGCCCCACACTGGAGATTGAGCCTGAAAACTGGGCATGTGCCCTGACTAGGAATCGAACCAGGACCCCTCAGTCCATAGGATGACACTCAATCCACTGAACCACACCAGCCGGGCTTTTCCACTGATCTTGGGTGTAATTTCAGAATAATTCCTGAAACAGCCCTCTAGATAGCTACTTCTAATAAGCTGAAGTTGGTTCAAAAGGCAAAAGCTGCTTGCTATAGAGTAGCAGAATCTTCTGTTTCATGTATGTTACCATAAGCTCCGTGAGAGTAAGAGTAGAATCATGTTTGTGCTCCATCTGCTCCCCCTGGGCCCACCCCTCATCTTCTGAGTGAACCTCATCTCCCAATGAGTCGGTGCCCAGTACATACTCAGCTCATCGACCTCCACACTTTGTTCCTGAGCGGTGGGAATTAAAGGGTGGGAAGGATCCAATCCAGTCAAATACTGACTGAGCACTTAGTATGTGCAAGGCTCTGTGGGCGGTGAGTATAAGATATCGATTAATTCAACAACAAAGCAGAGGTTATCAATTCTTCCAAGCACCAAACACTACCCCAAGCTTTGGCGAGATCTTGTAGGACTACTGGAGAAAGGGGTGTGTGGCACGGTGACGGATTTGTTGCTGGAATCACAAGGAGGCGCCTTTTATCCCCTAAGCAATCCCAATCAAGTAAGAGTATAAAGGGTCAAGTCCTGATCAAGGTGCTGCTGAGGCTAAGGCACAGGGTCCGCCCATTAGAAGCTTTGATCTTTTTGGGAGGGAGATAGGACCCTCGTGCTTATTATAATTTAATTCCCAGAGAGCAACAAAATGTTAATTTTGCAGAACACACAAAATGAACTTTTCTTAGACAAAGGAAATACCAGAAGACGCCAGAGAGGAAATTCCACAGCAGTATTCACATCTATCCCTTCACACTGTCACACTGTGTACCACAATCCTTCCCTGGTCTCCCTCTCCCACTACAGCTATCAGCCTATAACCTAGGCATGTGCTGGGTGCATTATGACTACAGCCTCCTTTAATCCTCACAATAGACCTGAGTAGAAGGCCTTATGATCCCCATTTTATAAATGAAGAAACTGAGGCTGAGGAAAATATAATTTTCCCTAGGTGACAGAATTTATTAGAGCGGGAATTTGAACTTGGGTCTGAGTGACTCCAAAGCTAAGCTCTATCCTCTCACTATGCTTTGACTTCAAAACTATAAAGCACTATACAGACATATGGTATTTCAATTATTGCTGCTACTCACTTTCTCTCCAGCTTGAAGAAACATATCATGGATGAAGATGGTGTCAAACCCTCTTCCCTGCAGCTTTTGCTCAAGAACTGTGTAAGCATTTCACAGTTCGGGGTGTGTGTGTGTGCGTGTGAAATACTGCTGGGAGTTCCACTGATAAATAAAATGACTGAGGAATACAGACAACTGCAGAGCGGTATCACTAGAGGGAAACAATAAAACGTAACAAGAA